AGATTTTCTTTTTAGTTTTCATTTTATTAACCAATGTGTCAACATAATAACATCCTACATTAGGGATTCTACCAACATAAAAAAATGAGAAATTAAGTTTAAATGCTTTCCCCTAGAATACTATTTACATTTCTAAAGTCATTGTTTACTCTTGTCTGTATGGTAATGTACCTCATATTGAAGACTGGAAAGTACTAGGATACTTCTTAGGAGACTTCATCCTACAGAATTTATCTTACATTTCATTTAATTTTCTTTTCTTCAGTTAAATCACTTTGGCTTTGAAAAATGGTTTTATTTCTAGACTAATGAAACAACTATGGGATTAGCCATAGTTACAGCAAAAGAACATGAAGATAATTAGAAATGCAGTATACTGTATATATATACTGTATACAAATATGTTTTCCAGAAATTTAAATTACTCAAAGAGACATTTTTTATCATATTTTGAGATGGTTTGGATGAACTGCTGAGATCTTTAGCATGTTTTTCAGAGCTGAAGAGATGTTTTTTAAAAAAACTGCCAATTATCAGTTGTGAATCTTGAATTTTGGCCTCCAGTCTCATCATAAACATGATCATTATTTGCATTCATTACTTATTAAGTCACTTGTTATAATGGAAGATCAATAAGCCGCATTCATTTTGTGCTCTAGTTTTTTTTTTTATATGGTTTGAGGAAAAACGTCCTTTTAAAAGATCAGCAGTCTGAGTCTTTGTCTGCTTACAGGCAGGAAGATACAGTTGAAGCTTTAGTTCTTTGGTGTTAGTCGTTATTCTCAATTAAACTTGAGGTGTTTGCACCACGTCATTATGCAGGCACCCAGTCAAGTCAGGTTGTGCTGTTGTGAGTTGAATTCAGAGACTTAAAATGTTACCTTCTGAAGGGCAGAAGAGAAAACTCCAGAATGATATTGTGTGCTAAAGATAGTTGGACTGAGTGGGTGGTGTGAGGAAGGGAGGGTGGGAGGAGTAGGAAGGAGAGGGGAATGCATGTCGATGTCAGCATTCCGTAAAGGATAGCGTGGGACACTGCGTGACTCACAGAGGGTCAACCTGAGAAGACAGCAAAGACAGGAAAAGCAGAGCAATAAAGCAAGAAAGTATTTTGCCTGTGTTAAAGATGCAGTTTTCAGGTAGAATTCTTATGTGTTGTCCCCATTCCCTGTACAGACTTTTAACTCCATCCATCTAACCTTAGCTGTTTTCTTTGAGGCATTCACTTTTCCATGATTTCGTTACAAAAGGCCTTACTCTTGACAGCAAGCCTTCATTGGTATAAAGTAAACCCTGACTCTCATTCTGTTGGTATCAAAGGAAGGCGTCCAAAATTGTTTTCCTTTTTCCATCTCATAGCATATACTGCAGGTAAATTATATGTCCAGTGTCTATCTCAGGCAGAGTGCATTCCGAGCAACTTTAGAGAGTCATAGGTACAGGAGGTGAGATCCTACAAGTGGGAGAAATGATGTGCAGTCAACTGAGGATGGATTGCTGCCTGGGGTTTTGTAGATTTGTATTGTATTTCACTCCCATATTCACATTTACAGAGGTCACAGCTGGCCTTAGCTTGAGTAATGTTTTATAATAATAATAATAATATAGTAATTGCTTACACTTATATACTGTAGCTCTTTTCTGGACACTCCACTCAAAGCACTTTACAGGTAATGGGGACTCCCCTCCACCACCACCAATGTGCAGCATCCACCTGGATGATGCAATGGTAGCCATAGTGCGCCAGAACGCTCACCACACATCAGCTCTCAGTGGGGAGGAGAGCAGAGTGATGAAGCCAATTGATAGATTATTAGGATGCCATGATTGGTAAAGGCCAATGGGAAATTTGGCCAGGACCACCTTTACTCTTTTCGAGAAATGTCCTGGGATTTTTAATGACCACAGAGAGTCAGGACCTCGGTTTTACGTCTCATCCGAAGGACGGCGCCTGTTTACAGTATAGTGTCCCCGTCACTATACTGGGGCATTAGGACCCACATGAGCCGCAGGGTGAGCGCCCCCTGCTGGCCCCACTAACACCTCTTCCAGCAGCAACCTTAGTTATTCCCAGGAGGACTCCCATCCAGGTACTTTATCCAAAGGCTGTCTAAAATTCTGCATCTGAGAAGCTCTCTGGTGCACCATGGATTAAGGGTTTCATGCGACGCACTGTTATTCATTTATTAAAACTGTTTTTTCTTTCACAGGATAAAGTGAGTTGATGTACTGTATTTTTAAGGGTATGTAGTACTCAAAAAGAGACATAACCTTTCTGAAAATAGTTGTTTTGCTTTTTGCCAAGCCACTTTTGTCCTTTTTAGCATCTTTTCATTGTTTTTTCAAGTCTCTTGACTAGAATAGTAATGAGGTAAAGTAATTAATACCTTGCTGGAATCTCCAGATTTTTGTGACTGGGAATACAATAGGTATTTTTCAATAGTCAATTCATTTGTGACACGAAGAATTTTTTGATTTGTGTTTTTTCTGCACCTTTATGCTGCTTGCTAAAATAGTTACTCCTGATCAATCTTTCTTGAAGGGAGGAATCCACTCTTGACAGAGATATGTATTTTTCAGAATGATACAGTAAGTAATACTTCTTGCTCAATTCCCTGACAAAAAGATTTTGTAATAATACCCTTTCTGTGAACTGCACAGATGTTCTTTCTGACCTTTACTCGGTTGAAAGGGATCACGTGATGGTTAAGGTCTGAGAGTATGATTGTGGTAGGTCAGAGGTGGTGCAGTTTGATGGACTGAAGTAATTCTGAGCCATAAGCTGGGACTACATTTAGCTGCTTGCTGCACTGAAAAAAAATAACCCAGTGTTTTCACACAATGTGTCCACGACTTGTTGCCCTCGACTGACAATTAGACATTGATTAATGACAAAGTGGTCATGTTAGAATTACTGCAAGTTGTCTGTAGATGCTCCATTATTTTCTGATCTGCTAACACAGCCCTCATAACAGTGCTGTGCAGAGATTGAACCTCTGCCTATCACATTCTGCTGCTTTTCAGTTATGATTTAGTTCCCCACTCACAGTAAGCATGGTCTGTTCTGTCAGTAGGTATGGGGAGCTTTCAATCATAAATGGCCACTATTTTGTGCAGGCTGTTCCGTAATTCACCACCTTATTTTTCCCCTTTCCTTTAGGTCTGCACAAGAATTCTCAATATGTTTGGTATATCATCCATCTATCCAATTTCTAATCGTTTCTTCCAATTCAGGGTCACTAGAGAGTCAGAGTCTATCATGGCAAACAGGCATAAGGCAAGGTACAGGACAGGAGTTCATTGCAAGATAGTTTGGTCTGTTATTGAGAAAGTATTTGATTTGTTTTACTGTAGATTTAATCACAGTTTTGTGCATCATATTTCCTTTTATTCCAAGCTGCCATTAAACAGGAAAAAAACCTTAATGGAAACTCTCGTCTGTAGACCCTTTGGTTCAGTTTACTCTTTGCTTCGCTGTCTTTGTTGATCAATAAGGTGATCAATAAACTAACAAGGGATTTGTCCTGTGTTTGAAATTGCAGCAGTGTTCCTGCATTTTTGTAACAATTAAGCTGCGGTCAAATGTGTGGTTTCAGGTACTTAATACCATTTAGCATGGTAACAGTGCGAGACCCACGTTTTATATCTTCGCAACACAACGCTGTTGTGTGTTAATCAAACTGGAATCAGAAGATACAGCATATTAATATTCAGGACTACGTTGAAAAATCTGCTGTGTGCTTCCACTAGACAAAATTAGGATTAAGGAAAAAATTGCATCTTTTGATCTTAAGTGCTTAATAGAAATAAGTAGCGAATGCTGTCTTTGTACTGAAAATAAGTAGATTTCAATTTTACCAAACATACTGTGAAGTGAGGATGTATTTATTGTAAATGCTACAGTACTTCACAGTCAGACTTTCTAAATGAGAGATATTCAGTAATTCAATAATATCCATACTGCATTGTTTTTTATTCCCTTTTATGCTATAGTTTACTGTGGCAGATTGCTGTGCAAAGTGTAATCTTGCGTTGACTGAACATATACAGTATGTAGTGATGGGTATTTGCATACAAGGGATATCTCACAAGAGGGAAGATATGTCTATTAATGTTCTGTGGTAACTCAGACCTTTTCAAAATAGCCCTTGGGTATTATTTGAGTTTAGGCTAATGTTTTTTTCAATTATTCCTTCAGCATAGGGTATTATCAGAGACATATTATCATCAGATACTAAAGTATTATTAGTGCATACTTGGTATTTAGCTCTTTATCTCCTTATGTACCAATTTAATTGAAAAGGATGCTGTAAGATATTAAAAACTAAAGATGGATGTGTTGTTATCTCAAGTGCCAAAGGTTGTACTGCATAGATTTGTATTCCTTCATCACAGTCTACACTGTTAAGCACTAAGTGTTTCTTTCTATCTTTAATCTAACACATCCTGGATTATATTATAAAACCAAAGAAGAGTGCACAGGCCATTCAGTGCACCTCCAGCAGTACCCGTGAAGTTAAATTAGAAATTTCATAGCTATGTTTTCAGGAATGTTTTCAATTTGTAAATAACTAATGCCGTTTTTTTGTTTCCAGACAATCCTGCATCCAACCCAGTGAAACTTTGCTGACTTTAGTGGGAAACTAAGTGATCTATTTTTCGACACGCTTAATGTTTAATGACCGACACACACTTAAAGGACTGCTGAGAACGTGGTCTGAAGGGCCTAACTCAAGATGGCTCTTCCTGAGAAAACAGCATTTTCTGCTTCCCCTCGGAAAACACTGGCTGTCTGAGGTGGAGTTTGAGTGTATGAGCAGGCCCCACAGCACAGGGCCTTCATTGTTCCTTCCAGCTGTTTTTCTTTTCTCCTGGCTGGCCTGACACAAAGCAGACCATGTTAAAATAACACTCGCCACCGGACGCTAGGACCTTGAATGTCTGCGTGGGCGCTGAGCCTCCAGCAGCTGACATCAGAGAGAGTACAAATACCAAGAGCCTGCGACGGCAGCCCTCACTTGCCAAGGTTTCTGCCACAGGGTGCAGCTCTCCAGAAGTCCACAATGAGCCAATCGTACTCTAACACTCAGAGGGTCTCCTCTTACAGGAGGACCTTTGGAGGTGGAGCGGGGTCCCCCAGTCTCTCCAGGGCCACGTACTCTGGAAGAGGGTCCACCAGCGCATCCTCGACAGCGTCCAGGGTCTACCAGGTGTCCAGGAGCTCGGCGTCCCCCAGCTTCTCCACGATACGGTCCACCCGCATGACCCCCGTGCGCTCCTACGTCGGCGGGGGGGAGACCCTGGATTTCAGCCTGGCCGACGCCATGAACCAGGAGTTCCTGCAGACCCGCACCAACGAGAAGGCCGAGCTACAGCACCTCAACGACCGCTTCGCCAACTACATCGAGAAGGTGCGCTTCCTGGAGCAGCAGAACCAGACCCTGGTGGTGGAGATCGAGAAACTGCGGGGCCGGGAGCCGACGCGCGTGGCCGAGATCTACGAGGAGGAGATGAGGGAGTTGCGCCGGCAGGTCGAGGTGCTCACGAACCAGAGGTCGCGCGTGGAGGTTGAGAGGGACAACCTGGCTGATGACCTCCAGAAGCTGAAGCAGAGGTGAGAACAGGAAACGCAGATAAAATCCACACCTGACAGCTCCGCTCTGTTCTTCTCCTGCTCTATTTTATAATTTCTGCCAAAAGGCATCTGCCTTCTCATTTATACACGCTACGCAACATTTTCATCGGTCGAGTTTATAGGAATTGCAAATCCACGAGGTAGTATTTGTAACGTCTAAAATCTACTAGATGAGGAATAGCCTTTTGTTTTCAGGTAAACTTCAGACCAAAAAGAAACCTTAAATGGTGACTGATTCAGTTATTAAACTCTTTGAGAGTTTCAATAATTTTCATGCAAAAATTACATTTTAGTATTAGTGAGGGAAGTTTTATGGTGGAAAAAATGTATATGAAAAGATGACTGGGAAGATTCAGAAAACTATTTTTTTTCATAAAACACTTGTGACTAATATAAATATATTTTCTGTTATTGCAGTTCAAACGTTTTTAAAACTGTGTGAACTATATTGATGAGGGAAGACATCTTAACCGTTTTTATTGTGAACTGAAAAAGCATCAGAAACCCCCCCCCCCCAAATGAGACTTGATTAGTTGCTAACTTAACTATGAAAAAAATGTATTGCCTGTGTTAGCTTTATCTTGTCTCAAAGTTTCTCATTTACTGAACATACGTTAGATGGGGTTGAAAAAGTTAATCTGGAAGTTGTTGATTTTTTCTTATTCTTTCTAGAAATTAGGGGTAGAGAGACTTGAACATAGAATGGAAGAAGGTACTGTACAGTTGACTCAAATATGAAATTAATGGTAGGGGTCTGAGGATCTTTAACAGTAGTAAAGCAGATGACGGGTATATCCTTCGAGACATTTTATTGTTAAAGCCCTTTCTAGTCTACCTCCGCAGAATTAAAAGAGCTCAAATACAGTAATTAAAAAATCTAGTAGAACATGAAGTGTTTGACAGTACAGTGTCTTCAACCCACAAAATGCTAAATGTCAGTGTGTGTGTGTGGTTCCTAAGCACAGTACTGGAATAGCGGGTAGCATTTAATTTTGATTGATATAAAGTAAATTATCAATTGGATTGAACTAATCATTACTTGAAATTGCATTTCATTGCATTTTATGGTGTGTATCCTGTCTGCTATGTCACTAGTTGTTCTGTCTTGAAGAACCTACAGTATGTCTGAATACATTGTGAAAATATGGAGTAAAGGGTGTGTGATATGCTGTCTTTGAACAGTAATCGAAGAAATCCCATTAGTCAGCTCCTCAATCAGGGTTTGCTTTCTATTTCTGATTGTGTTCTTGAATGGAAAAAAATAATAATACAGTTCTCTGCGTATGTATTGACTTTGGATTTATATATTACAGTGTGATAATTAGCTTTGTGTGCTGGGTCACTTGTACAGCTTCTCCAAGAAACAGCTGGATGAGGTCTTTGCATTGATTAGATGCTAATTATTGAACGGGCTAAACAGGTCAAATTGCCTCAAATCATATGTTACATTTCTTATGTTCTCAAGCAGGGACAGCTTATACTATAATTTCATTTTATTTATGATTAATGACTAAGTTTTAAAGAGACATCAAGAGACGCAGACTATAAAATCAGTCACATTCATACTGTCACAGACAGACAAATAGAAGAGACAACTGTGCTTTAAAAAGTAATCAAGACAGTTATATTCCTTTGAAGTTTGAAGTACTATTAGGTGAAATAGATTTTGTAGTGTTTAAAGTCATTTGTATTAAAATGCCTTGAATATATTCGACAAATGTATTAATTTGTATCTTAAGCCAAAATATAACGAATGCAGCTTAGATCCAAGTTTCATTTGTTTTGATTTGGATTTTTTTTTATATCTATATATGGAATTAACAATGTCATACCTAAGCAATAAGCTTGAAGTGAATATGGAAACAGAGACGTTTTGCAGATAAAGATACAGCACGCGAAATCCAATCATCATAATAATAGTCATTTTAAAGGCTGGATGATTCAACTTTTGAGATGGAGATCAATGATAACACAAGTGCATCTCATCTTTACCATTACAGCCAACAAGAGACAACCATAAATTATGAATAATCTTAGTCTTTAGATTGAGTTTGTAAATCTTTATTTGACCTACAGTACATAGTGTACAAAGGATATCATTATGTACTGGGAAATGGACTGGAGCAGGGTTTGTTTTAAACTATATTCTAAGCTATTTCAGTTCTGTATTACAAGACAAATACAGTACACTGCTGTGCAAAATATTTCAGACATCAGGAGCTACAATATTCGTGAGGGATGTTAATATAGACATACATGGACAATTGTTTCTGCATAAACTGAAATTACTGAGTGACAATAACAGAGCAATGGAAAATTTCTAAAACTTTTGTATAGCAATGTATGGCACGTGCTTCGTGACAAAGGAAGGTTGTGTGGATGTGAGCAAGAAAAGGGGTTCAATTAAATAAGCTAAAGAGTGGATCACAAGCCTGGAAAAGGATAAAGGCAAGAAACATCTTACAGTGAAAACTTGGCACTACACCTAACACAGATTATGAGCTTCGTGTCTTCTGGGCTCAGTCATGAGAGGTATTTTTTTTACAAGATATGAGCCTAATCATAAAAATAGTCTCATAGAAAAGTCATTAATGAGGTCTCCACCTCTCAGCAGCTCCGGAATGCATGCGTGCTTCTGAGTCACAATGTGTAATCTTGGAACCAGTGCACAGCTGTTCTCTTCTATATTATAGAGCAGACATATCACCTTCCAGAATTAGAGACCTATTTTCACAATATCCTTTTTTACAATGACAGCCTCCATTCAGTTTTGGTTCCTAAAATGGATCTCCGTCAGTGCATTGAAGCTTATTCGTATTTGGACAAACATTTCTGAAGATTTAAACGCTAGTCAAACGGCATTACCATTTATAACAAAAGAATTGCACTCCTCCATCATTCTTATTTTCCCAAATCTCTGCTCAACAGTTAACAGTTCTATAATTAATTTTCGATGATTCACTGACACGAATACCACTCACTGCACCAAGCTATTTAAAGAAAAGCGAAAGACAAAATTAAATATTTCAGCGTGTCAGTTATAACTGGTTCATCACAGGACAGCACAGGGAATCTTTTAATTGATTATGCCTCACATGTTATATATAGCTGTTTTTAGCATTTTATTTTTATCTCTGGAGAAGAAAAAATGATTTTTTAGTGCTTTTTAAACACAGTACACAAAAGATGTAAAATTATAACCGGTGGTGTGTACAGTATGAATGCTTTAAAGTCCAAAATAAGTTTAATGATATAGTACAACTTTTCAACACTAGTCATTACAGTTTATTATTAACCAGTTCTTAACCAGCAATTCTGTGATGCCATTCAATAAGATTCTTAGTCCACATTAAAAAGTGGGATATGAAATTAAAGTTATTGTTCAGGATTAAATCAGTTATCTGAATTTAGAGGCGTAAATCTACAAGCTTCTCTGTAGGTTTTACTGTATCCATCGTCTGTTGATAAACACTTTTGCCATGTCTATAGCCTCTAAAGCAAGTTTACAGACGCTCCAGAGGTAATCAGTTGACAGCAGTAAAGTCATGCCTATCTAAACTAAATCTTTTCCAGATGTTATTTCCTGTGGGCTGTCTCTGAAGAAGAAAATAGTGTATAGAACACACTTCTTCATAATTAGTGGTTTCAATTAGTAATATGAGGCTAAAGTATTCACAGTCTAAAAACGATTAGAAGTTGAATTCCCTTCCATTTAAACTTCTGTATTTTTTAACCAAGAACAAATACTGTCAATTTGAGGAAAATGCAGAAGGACACAACATTTTTGAGCGATAGCTGGCTTTCTATTGTCAGACTTACGTGTGCAGTATGACAGTTGGAAGACGATTAGGCGTGAGAGTATCAATGCAGGTCAGATCTTCACAAGATCATTTGACTGCAGTAGTTTACAGAAGTGACTCAGGTGTACTGATGTGCTTTCCAAAAGACCCTTAAGAAGACAGGATAGTAACAGACTGGACGCATACAGAATTATCACCAGAGCACCATTTCATTGTCTGTAATGTCAGAGAAGTTTCAGAGAAAATCAGAAAACACTGTACAATGTGACACAAGGTCCACTTCAAATTCTTCTAGAACTGATTACTGCTCTAGAACTATTTGTTAATGTGTTTAAGAAGACAGCAATCAAGGAGGATGGCTCAGGGCAATAGACTACCCCCAGTTTATATTTTACTTCCATTTAAGTTTTGAATTCAGTCTTAAAACATTGCTCTTTAATCATGCACACCGGAAAAAGCAGCTAAATTGTATCTGATTTTTAAATAGTCCTTTTACATTTTCAAACTTGATTTTTGAAAATTAATTTGCATTTTACATGTACTTCACTTGAAATGTGGAGGGCTTGTGAAATACTGCCTCTTCATTACTTAGCACATATTTTGGTATCTGACCCTTGAAAAACAAAGAAATTTACATTTTGAAAAATTGATCCTTCCTAAACCACTTCAAGTTACATTGTATCTGCAAAAATATTAACCTTCAATTTTGAATTTTCAAAGTTCATACTTTGAATTAGGAGTTTTACAGTATGTAACAGCAAAAGTGCTGGTCCTCACTTTTATTTTTATCGAAATAATTGGAATCCATTGTGCTATTTACCATCTAAAACAACATATACAAAAAATTCATAACGTAAACAACATTATAGCTCATTATTTTCTGGGTATTACTGTACAATTTAACTACTGTATTACTGCAAAGGAACAAGTAATAGGTTTATTCCATGCTGAAAAAAAGAAGAAAGAAAACACAACGTTTCAGCCATGGAGCCTTCTTCTACTGTATTACTGTACCATTTTTTAAAATTGGCAATTTTGGGGAAGAAAATGCAGACCAAGAAGGCTTAGAAGCTAACAGCATTGTGCTTTTCTTCCAACTACTGTAGAGCTTTAGCTCAATAAACTTGCATGCAAGAAACTTTCTAACACCTTCAACAACAGTGATGTTTGACAGAACTAGTCAGCCCATTAAACAAACAGTCCAGATGTTCTGTTAGAGACCTAGGAAAGGAACACACTGCTTGAGAAACTAACATCTTTTCTGAATGCGCTTTTGTTGTAATCCATCAACAGGAAATTCTAGCACTCCAAAAAGCTGACAAAGAACAACACGAGCAAAAGTTCACAACAGACATTCTTCCTTATGAGGAGATAACACAAACCAGCCAGATGGAACTCTGTTTGAAAGAGAACACCATATAAGGCTGGGCCTCTGTTGTTTTGCTAAAGCAATACAAAGCGCATTTTAACCAGGGAAACTGCTAAATTAATTATTATACAGCTGCCAAAGTTTTAGATTTAAGGATTTGAACATTTTAAAGTAATATGACCTGATAATGTAC